ATTGAAAATTGAACGTTTTATCTTTGGCTCAAATACTTCATTTTCTTCTTCCCCTGCAGCATGTACTTCATTTGTTTTGATACTACCAACTCCATTTTGGGATTTGATTCCCGATTATTTGATCAAAACAGACTGATCCTCCACTTCTATGATTCCCTGAACCAAAAGGTCTTGAACTTGTCGTTTGAAGCGACCACAATTCTCAATGGAGTGTCCTCGGGCTCCAGCATGATAGTCACAAAAGACTTTCTCATTATACCAACTTGGATATGGAAGCAACAAAGGCTTAGCTCGACATGGAGCAATAATCTGGGCCTGAAGCAAATTGTAATATATATTGCTGCATGAAACTGAAGGAAACTTGGGCAAAATTTCTCCAGACATCACTGTCTCATTACAACTGTTTACTTTGCTTTCTTTAGCTTTCTTCAATGGCACTGAAACTTCTTCCATGCTTCTCTTCAACTTGATATTTGTCGCATTTTCTGGAGTTATACCCGACTTTTGGTGGCTTATTGGATTTCCACATTCCCTGACAAAATTCAGGTCATTTGTTTTCATTGTATCAGCTATATACTTCATAATTCCATTCAAATCTTTTACAACAGGATCCTCCAAGGGTTTCTCTCCATGGATCACAACATTCATCAGGTCCATCAGTTTGGTCATTTGTTCTTTTGAATCATCTTGAAACTTTTTTGCATGATCAGTCATATCTTGTTGAGCCTTGATAAGTTGCTCTTGCAGTTTCTCAATTCTACCAACCCTTGCTAAAATCTCATTCATGGCTATTATCTCTCTTTAGGAAGACCAAGTTAGCTCCACTTTGATTTCAAAAGTTCTTTCATGGAATCTTCCCTGAATTATTCCACATGTTTAAATGTACGCAAAATATTTTTAAACAAAATGTAATTATGTAAAGATGCAAACGCAAAAAATGAAAATATGAATGTAACCATAAAAATGTAAATTGTGCAATACAAAAGCAAACATAAAAGTATAAATGAAAAAATAAAAAAATGCAAAGATGCAAAATGCAAATGCATGTATGAAAAGGTGTTTACTTAAGAGTGATCATCTTAGAACAGATTTCATTGAACACAAAAGTTTCGGTACATCAAACAAAACTTTTACATATAGGGGACATCTTTCAGTCCTAACTTCTCTAAAGCCAAGTTAATTTCCATTCATGCTCAATAGTTGAATTGTCAGTCTGCTTCAATTCCTCGTAAAATCAGGATGGTCTATCAGCTTATGGGTCATATTGCTTGTCTGGACTGTAGCTTCTTCCATGACATTCTCTTTCATCTTCTGTATCAATTCTTGGAGTTGCTTATTTTCCCTAGTAAGAGAACCTTTCTGTCCAAGAAGTTCTTGAACAAGATCTTCATATAAGTTGCAGTTCTTTTTCAGCTTGGTGACCCCTGTTATCCACTCTTCTGGGGTACTTCCTAGGCCAGCATTTTGAAAGGCTTGACTGATCTTCTGAAAATCTTCATGCATGGTTTTCATTTCTATGCTCAATTTCTTGTTTTGGTCGTTCAAGTCCTTCAAATAACATGCTTGAGCTTCATAAAAACCTCCACTACTCTGAATGCTCTGACTGATGCTCTTACCATAGACTGTTTTTGGTATCAATCTGGTAGGATCTATGTGTAATACTTTTGGTATTAATATAACCGGTTCTCTATATACAGAACTTCCCTCGATCCTCGGAGTTTCTTCAGGATGTCTTTCATTGACCGCATCATATTTCGTTTGATCATAAAATTTTTTGTCCATTTACGATTTCTTTCCAATTTGATGAACAGTCTTTTAAGTCAACACCTTTTGGTTATGCCATGATCATGTAATGCAGGCACAAAACAAAAGAAATCAATATAAACAACTTAAAACAAAACAAAATGTATGAAAAATAAAAATGAGAAATGAAATAAATAAATTGGTAAGTACCAATTAATGAAAAGAAAATATTCTACCTATCATGGTATATAATATATCCTAACCTCATGCTTTCTAGTTCCATGCTATGTTTGGAAAAATTAACCTAACAACATGATTACTAGTTCGCATGCATTTATTCAGAGAGAAAAATAATAAATTAAATAAATTAAAAGCTAGAGCTTATTTCTCCTTTGTGTACACCTATGGACAGGGTTTCAGTACTTCTTAGATCAGGTGAAGTGCTAGGGTTTATTATATGCAGGGTTTCAGTTCTAGGAGTAAAGGTACCCGAATTGTCCTTGTTAGTGCCTCCTTGGGCTGCTAACCCTTAATCCTAGTCCACTACAGACTTAAGTGGATCGAGTTCAATTCGAGGGGACACATTTCTCTATGCCTGACACGGAGAATAAATTCCCACGAAGACATAGAGCATATGAACCCCAAAAACTACTTGTTAGGTCTGACACGAAGAATAAATTCTCACGAAGACGTCGCTTGCACTCCCACTTAAAAGGGACAAGCTTGATTATAAAGCTTATGTTATGCAATGCAAGCATTGTGTGTGAGGAGAAATATTTAAACCTCTGACAAACAAATAAATAATGAAATTTAATACTTGAAAATAAAATAAAACATTAATAAAATAATATATATATAAATATTAGGAAAATAATAAGTATATATAAAAATTTTGTAAAAAAAGAATTATAAATTAAATATATTTTTGAATTTTTAAAATTTCTAATAATCGAGACAATTTATATTTGATTTTAAAAGCTTGACCATGGTCCCCAGCGGAGTCGCCAAGCTGTCGTAACCGGTTTTCGCCCGAGCACGAATTTTTACTTGGCAGGAAAAATAAAATGAATAAATAAATGATTTTGATTTAAAAAATATTTTGGGAGTCGCCATTGACCTTTTTGGGTTAGGTAGGTCAAATACCTAAAAACAATCTTTTAAAATAGTTTTTAAGAAAACATAATTTAAAAGATAAACTGATCTTGCGTATAACCAAAAATTCATTCTTTTTAATAATAAAAAAGGTTCGTGGTCGGTTACGTTTAGGGAATGATTAGCACCCCTATAACGTCCAAAATTGGTACTTATTAATTATAAGTTGTCTCTATTATTGGAAATTTAAGAATTTAAAAATATATTTAATTTATAATTTTGTTACTTCAAATTTATAATTTTAAGAAAATCTATTAATTTATATAAAATATTTATTTATTTAGAAATATCAGAAAAGAGCTTCTAGGTGCTTTAAGACAGCTATTTTCTTAATATTAAAAAAATAAATAAATATAAAATATTTATCTAAAAATAATTAAAAATAGATATAATTTATAAAAGTAAAATATTTATTTATTTAAAAATATCAGGAAATGGACATCCAGTTGCTTTAAAACTGCCCTTTCTTAATATATAAAAAAAAGTAAATATTTATTATTTAAACAAAATATATATATATATATATATGACTAATATAATAAAATAATAATTAAAGTAATAATTTAAATATATTGAAATTAACAGGGTACTAATTAAATAAAATAAATTGCAATCTAATAATGAATAAAATAAATAAAAATTAAAACTATAATATAAACACATTTAACGTTATATATAATAATACCATATATAAGAAAAGCAATCATTGTAAATGAATAGAATAAATACTAAAAGAGATTTATATTTTAATAAATAATTATATAATAAAATCAAATGGTATTAATTTCTATTATGATTTAAAATGGATAAAATGGAAAGTAAATTTAAGATGCCAATTATAAATAAATGAAAAGGAAAATAAAGTCAAAGATATAAGCATTAAGATTACAAGTAATTAAGGAGAATGAAACATTAAAGGCAAATTAATCATGAATATCTAATTGACAACAAATTTGAGAAAGTTTTTAAACAACAAATAATTGAAATTTAAAGCAATTAAATTATATTCATATATAAAATTCATAGTAAAAAATGAGAACTATAAAAATTAGTGATTAAATTATAAACTATTGAAATTAAATACCTAATTCATAATTAATTATTTATAATTACGGGGATTAAACATGTTATTTTACCCATTTATTAATTTGGTGACTAAAATAAAATTATATTAAATTAGCACATTAAATTAAAACAAATTAAAACATATAATTCGGGGTTTAAAATATTTATTAATAAAATTATGAGGGCTAAATCGGATATTTGCCTAATATATATATTTACTGTAAATGACTAAACTAGTATAAATTAAAATGGGAAAACCAAATTATAATAAATAAAAACATACTATAATGATCAAATTGGAAGTTTTTAAAGGTACAGTGGATGCGGGAATAGTTTAGCCGTGCGTGAAATTACACAAAGGCCCCTCACCAAAACTACGTTGTTTTGGTGAGGGTATTTAAACCCTGTTATAGCCGGCCCTAAGGGCCATTTTCTCATTTGTTCTTTCTTCTTCTCTCTCTAAACTGAGAGAGTTTAACATTCTCTCTCGCCTCTCTCTTCAAATCCCTCATCGGAGGGATTAGAGTTCCGGCCGGCAACCGTGCTCCGGTGCCGACCACCACTGCCGGCCACCGCCTCCGGTGGCCGAAAAAGAAAAAAAAAACCCCTCAAAAGATAGATCGGTACTACCTAAAACCGATTTAGACCTCCGTTTCCTTTAAATAGTCCCAGATTTACGTAGATCTTAAAAAAAACTACCTTCGGTTTTTTTGATTTTCCGACGACGTTTAGAGTTCTGCTATGTGGTAAGTCTATCAGTTTTTTTCTTTTCTCTCGGTTTGTATTTGCTCTCGGGTTTTTTCTTGCTTTCTGTCTATTGATTGTTGTATGCTTGCTGGGTTGTTGTCCTTCTCTTTGTTGCTGCGTTGGTTGTTCTCTCCGGCTCCTCTGTTGCTCTCTGTTGTTTTCTTTTCGCAGGTATGGTGGCCATTTTTATAGGCCACCACGGTGATGGCTTTAGACTGGTTAAAGGAGTAAACTTTGGTGAGTCACCGAACTTGTGGTGACTCACGGAAGAATGGGACGTGTGGACGGCTGGAATGACTCTTCTGGGGGCTTCGACGGGCGTCGTGGCAGCTGCTGAGGACGGCGGCGTTGTAGTTGAAGCACCTGGCAGTGGAAACGTCGGTAGCGTCGGTTGGACCACCTGGCAGCAAAGGATAAAGTGGCTGCTCATCTTCCCAACGACGGCTGGCAGCTTGGGGAAATCCTAGAAGGGTTAGGGTTTCTCAATCGGGTTGGGTTTGCATTTCTTTGGGCTTCAGGATTTGTAAATGGGCCTGTAAAAATGTAATAATAATAAATTATTTATTTAATAATAATAATATAATATAATAATAATATTAAAACAAAATAATAATAATAAATAAAACAAATGAAATAAAAAAAACTAGTGTCTTCACACCTCCCAAAAAAATTATAGTGAGAAAAGAAGATAAATAATTTTTATATAAAAAACGAAATAAAATCATAGATTAGTGGGAATCAAGTTATATTAGGATGGCAACGGCCGTAAATTAAACCGAATTACAAGAACATTTCCGTAACTAGGCTAAAATAGATCAAACCAAAAAATGGAAGGTAAAAAAAAGAACTCAACTCGCTGTCTACTCTCGTCCACGCCATGTCACCGGCCTTCCTTATGTCAATCTGTAGAGTGATAATTCATAGTTCTACTTAGCTAACTTGGGGTCTTGCAAAGGCTATGTTGTAAATTTGTAGCAGTATCATTATGTTGAAGGAAATATTTTGTCAGCACGTAGATATTTTTCCATAAACTTTACATTAGCTATCAAACGTATGTATTAAAGAGCTGTAGGTTCAAGTTGTATTTGGCAATCACAGCGGAGCTGTTTTCTACCTTGAGTTATATGTATACTGTAATTCTGAACTACCATAAGTTATTTTGTGCTTGTCGCTATTCTTATGTTATGCTTTCTTGTGTATAGGTTCAATGAATTTGGTGTTGAGGGAGGGCCAGCTGCTAAGGCACTCAAGCCAAAATTTAATGTTTTCTCAAAGAGTGAAATCTCATACTGGTTTGGAAGTGCCAGAATTTGATATAAGAAGTCCAGTATTTTGCCACTGAAATAAGCATCTGCTTTTTTTTCATGTCATAACTCTAGCGATTGTTATTTACAGATTAAGTATCTAGTTGCTGCTGGTGTAGCCTCCAAGGGTGTTGGGCGTCTCCTTTTTATCTTTGGCGGCACTATGGGAGCTTATCTTCTGGTACGTTTTCCGGTCTAGCGTTATTATGCACTAATAGATCAATCATGAACCAACTCAACTGATAAAAGTACTAAAATATTGTTTTCCTGTAGGCTGTGCAACAGGTCATCATTACTCCTATCCTGTATGACTTCTACAACTATGACACCGAAAAGAAAGAATTCGACCTACTCTTTTCAAAGTTCTCACAGGTGTGATAGTGTTCATTTTTCATTAAGGAACAAGGGTTGATTTGTGTCTTCATTTCTTCCTTGTAATCGTATATCTCTTGTCAGTGGCTCTTTTCGAGCTTTCAATCTGGATGATGAAAATTTTGATGTTACTGTTTCTAACCAAATTCCCTTTACGTCTTAGAACTTGGCTCTGCTTGGGGCATTACTCTTCTTCATTGGCACGAAGAACACATTGCCCAGGAGACAACTCAAGAAAAAGGCTCCGAAAACCAAGACAGTTTGAAGGAGGAACTCATGGTAAACCGAGGGTGAATTGTTCGATCTCGATGTCTACTGCGATATATTTTTGTATGGTTTGTAGCAATGCTTTGTTCTTCAGAGTTAGGGTTAGAAAGAGGGCATATTACGTTCACTTTGATACTGTCACCTGCAAAGTTAAGTTCATTTTGATTTAATTGAGTCTGAGGAAGAATTTTATTATTTGCTTTCAATTCTAATGCTCTATTTATACTTTGATCATTTTGCTTGGATTTTTTAATTGTGAAATCGTGGTGCATGTTATTTTATCCCCAGAAGAATATTTAACTGCAGTTTATGCCTCTAGATAGTTGTAATTTCTATATCATATTTTATACTTCTAACATAGCCTTTTGCAATTCTACTTGTGGCATGTTACACACTATCTTCTTTTGTAAAACAATTATCTATAATCTACAACTAAAATTAAAAGTAATTCCGAATAATTGGTTACTTGATCTCTAATTTGAAGTACTTCGAACTCAAATTTAATACTAAAAATATTATAAATACTTATATTTTATAATATCTTTAGTTATTAATTCTATTCCGATATTATTTTAATAAATTAATTACATATTTAAAATATAATGAAATAATAATTTTTAAAGAAACAAGGTTATCACTATCACGCCTAAACACAAATTTTATGATATTATTATTATTATTATTTTCTTAAGTTTTTGATGTTGTATTTCGTTAACGTTGTTTTAATTCCTAATTCTTAAAATATAATTTATATTAAGTTTATTTATATATCACATTTTATAATATAATTATTAGCATTTGATTTTATATAACACAATATTGATTTTATAGTGGAATGAAATGTAAGGAAGAGACTATGTAAAACCTTTTGATAAGTGAATTGGATATCGGTGATTGTAAAATATAAAATTTTAATCAAGACTATTGATGGTCTAAGTAGGAAGTCGGTGATCTTAGCTGGTTCAACCATTTTAGATTGGACGGAGAGTTATAATCAATGATGGTGGTGTGGAGAAAAGAGAGAAAAGGATTAGAGAAGATAATGAAAATGGGTGTGGGGTTGGAGATCCTCTCCTTTCAGTGATGGTGATGTAGAGAAAGTAGAGAATGATTGGAAAAGATAATGAAAATGGGTGTGGGGTTGAAGATCCTCTCCTTTAGGCTTGCCCGTGTGGGAATATATGTTCCTGACCCCAAACATTAGGGTGTAACAACAAACAAAAATTAGGGTTAGAGCACTCCAAGTATATAAAGGTGACTTAGAAGCTTTAACTTTTCTCTATGGTGGGGGATATTCGGTCAGAGCACGAGGGTCACCACTATAAAGCTAAAACGGGATGAGATGAAGCACTTCACAGAGTTGAAGAAAAGGAACTAGCTAAGTGTTCTAGAGGAGATAAAAGGACTTTCGGTGCAATTTGCACCGAAAATTAGCAGTATTTGTTGAATTTTGCTAAAGGGTAAATTACACAATTTAGTTATTATAATTTAGGGTATTTACAAATTAGTCCTTAAGCTTCAACTATAAATACCCTAGTTCACTTAGCTTCAAAATCATCCCAAAGCATTCTAGCTTTCTTCCAATACTAGAGAATTTAGAGAGTTTCTTGAGAGTTATTTTCTCCTTTTTATTAAGAGAGGATTATCATTGTTTTCTCCTTGGTAGATCGAGAGAAGTTGTAATTCATATTTTCTCATAGTGAAATTCTTCATTGTTGCCGTGGTTTTTACTATATATTATTTAGGGGTTTTCCAAGTAAATTTTGTGTCTCTTTTATCTCCATTTTTATTTTCTCAAATTATCAGTTGTGATTTTGTTCTATCCGATAGCCGTCTTTCGCAATAATTGGTATCCGAGCCAGATTTGAGTGTGTAATATTTGCTTATTGTCTTTGTGGTTGCCACCAAAAGGTGGATCCTCCAACATAAGAAAGTAAGAAGGTATTACCCATTCTTTGAAGGTTCCAGAGAATGATTCACAATAGTGAAATAGTGGGGAGCTATCCGTAATAGAAGCTATGGCAATGAAATTTGATATTGAAAAATTTAATGGGAGAAATTTCTCATTGTGGAAATTAAAGATGAAGGCTATCCTGAGGAAAGACGATTGTCTAGCAGCTATCAGTGAAAGGCCGGTAGATTTCACTGATGACAACAAATGGATCGAAATGGACGGGAATGATATGGCAAACTTTCATCTAGCATTAGCAGATGAAGTATTGTCAAACATCGAGGAGAACAAGACGGCTAAGGAGATATGAGATCATCACACCAAATTGTACGAGGCCACATCGTTTCACAATAAAAATTTTCTTAAGAGAAAATTGTACACTCTCCGTATGTCAGAATCTACTTCAGTGACGGAGCACTTAAACACGCTGAACACCTTATTTTCTCAGCTTACATCATTACGATGTATAATTGGAGAACAAAAATGTGTTGAACTTCTACTTCAAAGTCTAAATGATTCGTATGATCAACTCATCATCAACTTGACAAATAGTAATGTCACAAGTCTAGTCTTTGATGACGTTGCAGCTGCTGTTCTACAAAAAAAATCAGCGCAAGAACAAGGAAGTCAGACAAGTAAATCTGCAATAAGCAGAAGTGTTGACAACGATGAGAGGGGGATCAACAGAACGTGGCCAAAGTAGTAGTCACAAACATGGTAGATCGAAGTCAAGGAGCAAAAAGAATTTAAAGTGCTACAACTGTGGAAAGAAGGGTCACTTGAAGAAGGATTGTTGGAGTCTAAATAAAAACTCCAATCCACAAGGCAATACCACAAACACTTCAGATGATGGAGATGCTCTATGCTGTGAATCATCAACCACCGTGGAAGGCAGAAAGAGATATGCAGATATATGGCTCATTGATTCGGGAGAAACATATCACATAACCTCAAGAAGAGAATGGTTACATCATTATGAATATGTATCAGGAGGATCTGTGTATAGTTGCAATGATCATGCCTTGGAGATCGTTGGCGTGGGAACCATCAAATTGAAGATGTATGATGGAACAATTAAAATTGTTTGAGATGTGCGGCACGTGAAAGGCCTGAAGAAAAATTTATTATCCTACGGATTGTTGGATAATAATGCAAGCAAGATTGAAACACGGAAAGGAATCATGAAGGTGTTTAATGGAGCGCTTGTGGTGCTGAAAGGCAAAAAGATAGCTGCAAACTTGTACATGCTGAAGGGAGAAACTTTGCTAGAAGCAGAAGCCTTTGTTGTCTCATGTAGTTCAGATTCTACAATGCTATGGCATCAGAAACTTGGACACATGTAAGAATAAGGAATGAAAGTCCTTGTGGAGCAAAAGCTACTTCCAGGCTTAACAAAGGTATCACTTACTTTGTGTGAGCATTGCATAACAAGTAAGCAGCACCGGTTGAAATTCAACATGTCAAATTCTAGAGGGAAAAGTGTTCTAGAATTGGTTCACTCTGACGTATGGCAAGCACCAGTTACATCCCTAGGCGGAGCAAAATACTTTGTCTTATTTATTGATGACTACTCCAGTAGATGTTGGGTGTACCCTATTAAAAAGAAGTCAGGCGTGTTTTCCACTTTCAAAAACTTCAAAGCGCGGGTGGAACTTGATTCTGGAAATAAGATCAAGTGTTTCAGAACAGATAATGGAGGAGAATACACAACTGAAGAATTTGATGACTTTTGCAGAAAAGAAGGCATCAAAAGACAGTTCACAATGGCGAACACTCCTCAACAAAATGGACTGGCAGAGCGGATGAACAGAACCTTGTAAGAAAGAACAAGAGCAATGTTGAGGGTTGCAGGCCTAGAAAAACCATTCTGGGAAGAAGCAGTCAATATCGCCTGTTATTTAGTGAATCGAGCTCCATCAACTGCAATAGAGCTAAAGATACCAATGGAGATGTGGACTAGTAAACCAGCTGATTATTCAAACCTCCATGTATTTGGAAGTATTGTGTACGTGATGTACAACTCCCAAGAAATTTCAAAGTTGGATCTAAAATCCAGGAAATACAAATTCTTGGGGTATGCTGATGGTGTAAAGGGGTATCGCTTGTGGGATCCTACTGCCTGTAAAGTGATCATTAGCAGGGATGTTATCTTTGTAGAAGATAAACTACAAATAAAAGAAGACGATGATAGCGCTGAAAAGTCAGAGACTATACAGATACATGTAGAAAAGGAGTTTGAACAAGGAGATTCTTCTAAAGCAGAACCAACACATGATGAACAAGAACTAGAGAGTTCTGAAGCTCCAACAACTCGTCAATCAGATCGTGTGAGAAGACGTCCCAATTGGCACTAAGATTATGTTACAGAAGGTAATATTGCATACTACCTTTTAACAGATGACGATGAGCTATCAACATACTAGGAGGCAATAAACAACTCAGATGCTTCACTGTGGATGATAGCAATGCAAGAAGAAATTGAAGCCCTTCATAAAAATAATACATGGGACCTTGTGCCACTACCACAAGGAAAGAAGCCAATTGGTAACAAATGGGTCTTTAAAATCAAGCGAAATGGTGACGATCAAGTTGAGAGGTATCGTGCAAGACTGGTGGTTAAAGGATATGCTCAAAAAGAATGTATTGATTTGAATGAAATATTTTCTCCTGTGGTTCGACTAATAACAATTCGAGTAGTTTTAGCAATGTGAGCTACATTGAACTTACATCTAGAGAAGCTAGATGTTAAAACAACTTTTCTTCATGGAAATCTTGAAGAAGAAATTTATATGCTCAAGCCTGAAGGTTTTGAAGAAAAAGAAAAGGAGAACTTGGTTTGCAGGTTGAACAAATCTATGTACGGTCTAAAGCAGGCATCGAGGTGTTGGTATAAGAGATTTGATTCCTTCATTATGTGTCTTGGATACAAAAGACTTAATGTAGACCCTTGTGCTTATTTCAATAGGTCTGGTGATAATAATTTTGTTATATTGTTGTTGTATGTGGATGACATGTTGGTTGCAGGACCCAACAAAGATCATATTGAAGAATTAAAGGCACAGTTGGGTAGGGAATTTGAAATGAAGGACTTGGGATCAACAACAAGATTCTAGGGATGCAAATTCACCGAGACAGAAGTAATATGAATACTTGGCTTTCACAAAAGAATTACTTGAAGAAGATCTTGTCATGATTCAACATGCAAGATTGTAAGCTAATTTCTACCCCTCTTCCTATTAACTTCAAATTATCCTCCAGTATGAGTCCTAGCAGTGAAGAAGAGAGGATGGAGATGTCTCGAGTACCGTATGCATCAGCAGTGGGAAGTTTAATGTTCACTATGATATGCACAAGACCAGACATTGCATAAGCAGTGGGAGTGGTTAGTCGATACATGGCGAATCCAGGCAAAGAGCATTGGAATACAGTAAAGATGACCCTGAGATACATCAAAGGGACCTCAAATGTTGCATTATATTACAGATGATCAAACTTACTAATCAATGGGTATATAGATTTTGACTATGCAGGGGATTTGTGTTTGAAGTTGCTGGTGGAGCTGTAAGCTGGGTTTCAAAATTGCAGTCAGTTGTGGCTACATCCACAACAGAGGCAGAATATGTAGCAGCTACACAGGCCAGTAAAGAAGCAATTTGGTTGAAGATGCTATTGGAGGAGCTTGGGCAAAATCAAGAGTATGTCTCTCTGTTTTGTGACGGTCAAAGCGCCTTGCATTTAGCAAGGAATCCAATATTTCATTCAAGGACAAAGCACATACGAGTTCAATATCATTCCATTCGTGAAAAGGTAGAAGAATGGACGATAGATATGCAGAAGATCCATACCAAAGACAACATAGTAGATTTTATGACGAAGGCGATCAATGCTGATAAATTTACTTGGTGTCGATCCTCTTGTGGCCTGTTAGAGACGTAAGCAACATGATGGTAAAAGGTAGAAAGAATGATGTGAAGACATGATTGTATCAATCAAATCTTCAAGTGGGAGATTGTGGAAAAGTCAAAGGACTTTCGGTGGAGGAAACCTTTCGGTGCAATTTGCACCGAAAATTAGCAACATTTGTTGAATTTTGCTAAAGGGTAAATTACTTAATTTAATAATTGTAATTTAGGGTATTTACAAATTAGTCCTTAAGCTTCAACTATAAATACCTTAGCTCATTTAGCTTCAAAATCATCCCAAAGCATTATAGCTTTCTTCTAATACTAGAGAATTTAGAGAGTTTCTTTAGAGTTATTTTCTCCTTTTTATCAAGAGAGAATTATCATTGTTTTCTCCTTGGTAGATAGAGAAATTATAATTCCTATTTTCTCATAGTGAAATTCTTGTACTGTTGCTCGTGGTTTTTACCCTATATTATTTAGGGGTTTTCACGTAAATTTTGTGTCTCTTTTATCTTCATTTTTATTTTCTCAAATTATCAGTTGTGATTTTGCTCTATCTGATAGCCGTCTTCCGCAACATATATGTCCCTGACACCAAACATTAGGGTGTAATAATAAGCAAAAATTAGGGTTAGAGCACTCCAAGTATATAAAGGTGACTCAGAAGCTTTAACTTTTCTCTATGGTAGGGGATATTCGGTCAGAGCACGAGGGTCACCACCATAAAGCTAAAACGGGATGAGGTGAAGCACTTCATAGAGTTGAAGAAAAGGAACTAGCTAAGTGTTCTAGAGGAGATAACTATATATCCACAACATGTTCGAATATTATATCCGGCGAGATAGTCTCAGTGGGTTCAAGATGTGGGACACTATGAGTAATTCACATGTTTCAATATTCGAATGTCATTTAGGTATCAATAGTTTATGAATGGTATCGAAGCCATAGTGCAATCTTGGATAAGTTAGGGTTTAAATACTAATGGACCTACATATGTATTATGAATTGTTTGAATGTACTTGTACTCGTTTTAGTTCTATCTTAGCTAAATTTCAATCAATCAATATGACGTTTCAACTTAGTTTTTGTTTAGACTAATTTAAGGGTATAGTTGATTTTAGGATTAAACTGAAATTAGTAAAGTGTTTTGAGTTTGTATATGTCATATAAGAGTTTAAATTTCATAAATTTGATATATTAACTTGTGACTAATTTGTATATGTTTAGACAAGTGTAGGATGTATGTGGATGGTTTGAATGATAGTCTCTGACCCCTATTCATAGCTCAAGAATATTCAATTTCCAGGATTCAGTAACCTGAGTGGTTATATAAACGCAGATGGTACTTTTGACTTCAATATGTGGTAAAATCTTAAATGTAAATTATGTAAACATAGAAGTCATAATGCAAATCAAATATAATTGAAGGACCTTTTAAAGCATTTTAACAATACGATAATTAACGATAATAATAAATTATTAAATATAAAATTGTAATATTAAATAGAACGCCGTTGACAATGTTCCCTATACACATATTGACATATGCAAACGACAATAGCAGGTTCCTAGAGCCGTCAAGCAAAGAACAAAACAGGTAAAATATAATTTTCTTGATGTAAACGTGTATTTTACCATTTGTTATTTTCACATTGTCTTCTTCGTTAGGTATGAAAAGTCAGCCTTTTCATTATCAGTATAAGTTGACATTGGAGTAACAGGCTATAGCTCATTCAGAACCAAGATCTGTGCAGAGAGATGGCCACAGGGATCAATACAATTCAAGAGGAATTGCAGGCTTTCGATGACACAAAAACAGGCGTCAAGGGGCTTGCGGACGCTGGTTTAACCAAGATTCCGAAGATCTTCGTCGCCGAACAACTCGAGCTCGATAACAATCCCGAGCCTCGTTGTTGGTCTGACTTTTGTATTCCGATGATTGATTTAACCGGCGTTAACGACAACGGGAGTTTGCGCAGAGAGATAATCGAGAAAGTTGGAGATGCTTGCCAGAAGTGGGGGTTTTTTCAACTGGTGAACCATGGGATAGATTTGAGGACGTTGGATGAGATGATCGATGGTATCCGAAGATTCCATGAACAGGACTCGGAAGTGAAGAAAGAGCTTTATAGCCGTGACTACAGCAAGAAGGTTGTTTACAATAGCAATCCCGATCTACATCGTGCGAGAAAAACGATTGATTGGAGGGATTCTTTAACTTTTAAAATGGCTCCTCAACAACCTCAACCTCAAGAGTTGCCTCACGTATGCAGGTAAGCCAAACATAACTTTACCTTTCCACCTAGTCTTACTTTTCATCAATATACTGAACTGATTATTTATGCACACACAATTTGAGAGACATTATATTGTTTGATTAAAGATATAATGATAAAATTAATTCTTAAAGTTTGCATAAATATATATTGTCCTATAATTTTTTAGAGTATTTTAACTCCCAACATTTTAATATTTTTTCAAATAATCTATGTTAAATGAAAATCATTAGTTGATTAATGGTCAACGCAGGTTGTTCATGCGATATTTTCACATATGCTTAATTGGTAACATGACACATGTCATGTAATCACTGTAGGTGAAGTGAAAGATGCCACATCATCAAAATGAAAACATGACATGAACTACGTCACTTGGAATAATGACATGATATGTGTCACGTTATCAATTGAATACATGTGAAAATATGACGTCAATATTCATACCAAAACTTTGGATCTAGATTAAAATTTTGAGACTAAAATACTCCTATATATATATATATATAAATCAAAGTAACATTTGGATGAACGTCGTGGGTTAATTTTATGAGGATGTCTTATTAAAACATAATGGTTTTAGGGAGATAATACTTGATTATACAAACAAGGTAAAGCAATTAGCTGGCACCCTGTTCAAACTGCTATCAGAAGCATTGGGTCTAGATCCCACATACTTGGAAGACATGGGGTGTATGGAAGGATTGTTTTGCATGGGACATTACTACCCAGCATGCCCTGAACCACACTTGGCTACAGGCACGTCCACCCATGCCGACAGCAGCTTCCTCACGGTTCTTTTACAAGATCAGATTGGTGGCCTTCAAGTCCTCCATCAGAATCAATGGATCGATATTCACCCCGTTCGTGGTGCTCTCGTTGTGAATTTGGGTGACATGCTACAGGCAAGTCTTTGTTTTGGAAAAATGAGTAAAAACAAGTCATTTTTTTATTACCATTCATATCATAATCATATAGGATAATGGTATTGTGTGTTTGGGTTGCAGCTCATATCAAATGGTAAATTCATAAGCGTATACCACAGGGTGGCGGCTAAATCGGTAGGTCCAAGAGTTTCAGTGGCGTATTTCTTCAGAGTAATTCTGCCCCCACCAAATCCTTTGAAGATTTATGGGCCTATCAAAGAGTTGTTATCGGAAGAAAACCCTCCCATCTACAGAGACATCACTATAAAAGACTTTGTCCATTATTACTATGGGGAAGGTCTTGACGCTCCTACACGATCTCTTGACCATTTCAGGTTGTCGTAGAGGTATCAGTGGATTCCAATTTATTTACGTTTTATATTATTCTCCAAAACTCAGTGTTTTCTTGATCATGTCTGTAATGTACCGTACCGGTAAAAGACATCGTTCTTTAATTTTAATTAATATTTGGTCTCCAACTCAATACCGGACAATTAGTGTTTTCTTTTTTCCATCCGGTTTGAAGACTTCGCCTTGATTAATCTGGACCGACCCGGGTCGTACACCTGGCTTTGGTGGGTGAGTCTTCCAACGGGGATTTTTTGCATACACAAAAATTCGAACCTAAAAACTTTACTTAAGTAATATCAAACTGGTTATCACTTAAACCAACCCGGTTGGTGACAATTAGTGTTTTATGTGTTAATGTATTGTTTCCTAATTCATGGTAACAGATTAGTTGTGAAAGCGCTTCTCTTTCGGTTCGAAAAAGATTGTATGTTGAAATTTTTTTAAAAAGTGTAAATGAAAATGGTAAGTTATTATTCTGCTTTTCTTATGGACTAGTGGAATATTAGATGGCGTTGTCCGAGATTTTTTTTAATAATCTATGCGATTATATAATATCTGACTAAAATTTTCTGAATCAATTGATCATACACACACCTTATAGGTATAATTGTTCGAACGTAAAACGTTAAAGAAGAACCATATTCCTCTTTACCATTTAAATCCACTTGATGAATTTTTATCGGAGATCATTTTTGGACTTGTTGTGAGGCTGTCGGGACATTGATCTGATTGGGATCTCGAAACAGGGGTAGCAGGTGTGCTGCGCTGCCATTCTCTGGTCTGCGCGTAAGCAGCTCACTTTCAACAGCAAAAGTTTGTCATTTGCTGAGGTTCTTTTTCCTTGCCAAATTACCTTCTCAGGCTGTTGACAATGATGGTTGTATCGAAAGCCCAATGGTTGGATTTCTTGGACGCTTCCTCCAATGGGGTTTAACTTCGATGCAGCAGCAAGGCGGAATGATTGGTCCAGTTGGTTTCGGTGGAGTATTGAGGGATCACTTGGCATGCACGTTGTCCTTTTCAAGTCGTCTTTGTGAGTAATTATTAAATAATGGGGGTTAAGTTCGAGGAGTTGGCTACTTATATTTAGGGAAGGATTGAAATGAATGATTGCAATTTTATAATTTTACTCCACTATTACCCTTGCAAAAGAAATAATTCTTCTCGACTAGAAAATTTAATTAAAAGTCTCACTCTTTTCTTCTTTTGAAAAATTTTTTATTGAAGAAAATAATGCAAGTGAATTCCATTTTCTCACTTCGAGTATACTAGGTTTGAAATATTGTGTTAATCTTTAAGGAAAAAAATCTATTATAGTGATTACATCAATTAGTGTAAAATTATTTCTAAGACAATAATTTCTACCACGACACAATAAATTATTGTTTTTCTTTATTATTGTATTATTACTTGTTAACCAATGCTAATGTTATTGTTCTACTACAATAAGTTTTACTAACATTTTAGAAGCGATTTCTGTATATTGTTGTATAGTTGGACTCATCAACATTTCGATGGTAATGTTAGCTAGAGCTTTATTAATAACACCACCATATATTAGCCTCAGATCAAATCACTTTATGGTAATCTCTCGATCAAGGAAGACAATTGTTATACCTCTAAACAATTTTTTATACTTTCAGACATTATGCTTTTGAAGATATTTCTCCGTCAATAACAGCGAGTTACAAGCTCTCCCCCAGTTGAAATCTTCCAGGAAATTCCTACGAACGACAAAACCCCTGTCAGTTGATTAATCTTTGAAAAAGACTATTGACAACTTTGAAAATTTTTCTAAATATCAAATTTATTGTCCGACAAATACATTTATATATACCTACGCAAAGCCATGATAACCCTAGACCTAATATTAACGTTAAGGGTCAATATATATATCTCCATGCAAGACTAGAAATAGGGACGCATTATTCCTTGGATCCAATAGGCCCCAAAAATAATTTGATATCAACCACTATCTAAAAAACATCCAACTATGACTCTCCATTCTGACATAACACATTCTTATCATCGAGTTTAATTCACCTCATAAACTATACAAGTTTTTCAACTATCAAAAAACATCATTTTATACAGTTTCTAGCTAACAAAGACCTTTTGGCTCATATGAGACCAAAATGCTATCCACATTATGGTACAATGAGTTGTACAGAAGTGTTGCCCCCCGCAAATCTTAATAGAAGAAATGTTAGATTTTATGCTCCCTGTAGCTCTTCCTCCCCTTTTAGTTTTCTTATTTTCCTGCTTAAAATACAAAAATCTGAAGGAAATGTTCTATAATAATTGGCATAGAATATCCTTGTCATTTCTTTACATCCCCAAGCATAAATTTCATAAGAGAAAACCATGCTGTAGTTTGACCTATCTTGATCGAACTCAAAAACAAGTTACTCCAAATCACAGTATTCATAAAATGAATGAATATATACCGATCAGCCAAGGCCAAAATCATGGGAGGATACCCAAACATATTTGAGATTGTCCCAGTATTCATAAAATGAAGAAAAACACACTACGCTGCTGGGGGCCTAAGCTCATGATCCTTAGAAGTATCTGTACTGATGGAGGTAAATATTGCCACGTTGGGACGAATCCATAACCCGGAAAAACTGCCATCTTGTTTGCTGCAGCAAGATAGCCTACTGGATGTGCAGGAAGATATCCAGCTGGTGAGGCGGTCAATGTTTTCAGCTGCTGCTCTATCTTTTCGTTATTTGCCTTCAGTGCAAGCTTCTCATCACGGATTTCATTCTTCTCTACCTGTTGTATTGGAAGTTAATGAAGGAAAACGAGAAACAAACAGAAGATAGTATGTATTTACGATGCAATATGAAACAACGGGAAAAATCATTCATTAACAATATTGATATCTATACATGTTACAGGTGATTCTGCTTCCTTAGTTAATTCCAATAGTCTGGAGTTTACTCTGCCTACTTTCCAAGATCAACTGCTAAAATATCTCTTTTGTTTGCTAATTTGGTTAAAGAGCAACTTGTTTTTACGGTACATAGTGTGAGAAACAGATTTGACACCACCATGAAGAAACCGAATTCCGTAACACGGACTTATAAGCTAGGAAACTCCATGGTAATTTCAATCAAAAGTTACATACAAATGCAAATGATCAAATTTACAATGATGAGACAGGGTAATAAACAGGTTTCCAGCTCCACCAAACGGAGTCCACAAATGAGCACAATTATTAACTTCTCAATTTTAGTCTATCTCAACAATACTCATAATATCAAACAATAAACTGATCCAAATGGTATGATAAACCAGCACTAAAGTCAGCAATATACACTCTACATGCTTCAAAAGCCAAAGAACACTACTTAACAAATTAAAGAATTGAGACTAGGAGTTCACTGAATATTTGAGCAGATTATATAGAATTACTCGTCTATGTGTCTGTGTGTGTATAACTAACCTTTAAACTTTTTATTTCCTCCAACAGTTTTTCATTTGTTTCTTTGAGCTCCTGAGCCTCGATTCTTAGTTGGGTCAAAACTCTAATTGCATCTTCTAGTATTGCGGATCTCCCAGACTCTAAAATAGAGCTTAGGTCCGCAAACCCACACGAGGATAACAAAAACTCATTCTTAGACCTTAAGGCTGATTAATGTGCTTCAATGGCATACCCTCGATCGACCTAACTTATATCTTACCTTCTTGAAAGATATGAAAATGAAGTATACAACTAATAAACTCAAAATTATCACAATTTTTAACGACGAAAAACAGCTGCAACATTAACCAGAATATTACCCTTGCTAAAAAACATAACAAGAAAATATCAAAGGCTAGAACAATTTCTTGAATAATATAATGGAGGAAGATACAGGCCTTTCATTCAGTTTCTCCCGTCTTAATTTCTCACGGCAAGCTTTGGTCCCTAGCCTGCTGCATGATCCATTGCGTCCCCTAAAAATGAAATCAATTTAAGAATTATAAAAAAAAAAGCAAACAAAATATATAAAAACTCTAAAAGGAAAATTCTAATGTTTGTTTAGCGCAATGGATCTCAAATTCATTAACAACTAAACAAAAAAGGGCAAAAATATTGGGGGGGTGGGGTTTGGTTCTAAGAACTAGTTATCAGTCCAAAGAAAATGCGCACTTTGGATTCATACTTTCCGCATTATGTTCAACAATCAAATAACATAAAACCGCTAAGAAAATAGAGAAACATTGAAATATAAATTGAAACAATACATCTTCAAAGGGCAATCTCCATCGACGAATTCCTTTTCTCAATGCACAGCATTTCAAGATGAGAAATCATCTTCTCTACCATTACTGAAACAATATCATATTAAGCAATAAATCGAATTTAAATATCAAGAAAAAATATTCCACCGTTAATTCATTAAGTTACTGAGAAAAACAAAGATTGAATCGAAATTCTTTTGAAAAAGAAAAAAAGAAGGATGAACCTGTAATTGGGCAAAAGTACGCCCCGGAAATGAATTCTTTTCGATGAAACTATAATCCAGAAAATCCCAGTCTTCTATTGAATCCGTGTTTTTCACCACTGCGACTCTCCAATGTTTTTAATTATTTTTTATTCGGGAATTCGCCTCAAATACGTACAGTTCGTGAGTTTGGCGGTAAGTTGATTAATTTATGAAATAGATGAATATGAATAAGGTTTTGTATTTGTTTAATTAAATGAATAAATATGAATAAAAGATTCATTTGTTTATTTACGTTCGTGAACGTTCGATAATATGTTCATTTGTTTATGTTTATCTCTCTATATCTATTTAAAATATTAAGACCCAATAAATTTTAATCTCGTACCCGTTAATATTTTAAAATTCAATTAGTTTTAAATACAAATAAAAAAAGCAAATAACAATTAAATACAAAGTAACAATGAAGTTGTAACTTGTACTAATGAATTTTATGTGATCATTGTTGTGGTGGTTTATAATCATTTATGTTTGTTTGTTTTGTTCATTTATGTTCGTTTGCGTTCGTTTATTTTCGTTCGTTTGTG